AAAAAAAAAAAAAGAAACATTACTTTAGCAAAATTTTCCAATCCAAGAAAAAAAAACTGATTGATTATTTCAGATTTTTTTTTTTGCATTTTAAATTTTTGCAAAAATACAAAAGGAATGAAAATTTTAAACAAATATTAATAACAGTTTTATTACAATTATTTGCCACTTTTTTTTTCAAAATTCTTCTAATTAATATTCCAAAAAAAAAAAATTTAAAAAAAATAAAAAGAAAAAAACTTATAAATTATACCTAAAAGATAAAAAAAAAGTAAATAAAATATTCTCAAAAGTATATGTAATATAAAAATAATAAAATAAATAAATATCCGGTTATTCCGGATATTTATTTTACACATCCGTAAATAATTTAAATTAAACTAAACTAAACTAAACTAACTCCTTTCATTTATTTATTCATTGAAATAATTCTTTAATTTTTTTTTCTTTTTATCATTCCTTTACATTCTTCCTCTTCCTTCCTTCATTCTTTTTTTTTCCTTCTTTCTTTCTCCTTTTTCTTTTTTTTTCCTTCTTCTTTGCTATCATCATTTTCCCTCATTATTTTTCTATCATTTAACTTAAAAATGAACTATAAAGATGAAAAAGAAGAAGCAGGAAAAAGAGAGAAGGAAAAAAAAAAAAAAAGTAATACAATTGTACCAATCATTTTTGAAATTTGAAACGTTTACTTTATCTCAACAACAATATTTTTTCATTTTATTTTATCATCCATTCATTCTTTCATACCATTTTCCTTCTCTTTTAACTTCATTCTTTTCTTTATTGCTTAAATTTTTTAAAATTATTTTTATTAAATTAAAATTTTTTTTTTTTGTTAAATATTAAATTAAATTTTGAAAAGGAAAAAAAAAACAGAAAGCAAAGAGCAGTGAGCAACGTGGAATTAACGGAAGATGATCAGATATTCGTTATTTAAGTATTCCATTGAGGTATATAATATTTATGTATTCTTTCTTTTTTTTTTAATTTCATTTTATCAAATTTTTATTTAATTATTAATTTTATTATGAGTAGTTTTTTGATTCATATTAACATTGATAAAAAGTAATACAATTGCAGCATTTTTAAATTAACACAATTTACTTTTAATAAAGTAATACAAGTTAATAATGTAATGGAATTAAATTTGGTAATATAAATTATACAATGCAATACAATTTAATGCAAATGTAATACAATTTCATTAATAAAGTAATGCAATTGTACCAATTATTTTGAAATAGAATTATCGGAATTAAAAAATAAACAGATGGAAATTTTATGGATTAAATTAATTTGAATGCTTAAAAATTTAATAAAAAAATTTTTTCCTTCTAAATATATTTAGTAGTTTTTTTTTTTTGTTGTAACGAAAAAAAGAATGTATGAAATATTGTACTCAATTATCGTTTAACTCAAAATAAACACTCACAAAAATTAATCATTATCATTGATTAATATATGTATG